TCTCCTTAAAAATAATGCGGATTGGCGTTGGGGTAATACCGAACGCGATAATTTATGACTGGTTGGGGAAATTCTTCTTCATGCACCGATATTGGCTTTGCCCGATCCTGATCGGCCCTTCAGTGTCGTCTGTGTTGCACATCTGGGTTTGCCATTGGCAGTGCTTTGTTACAAACAGATGTTGATGGACACGAGTGCGTCATTGCGTTCGAGTCTCGCCAGCTTGAAGGTGCTGAAAAGAAACCATATTGTCCATGACAAAGAACTGCTTGCTATGAAGTAAGGTCTTGTAAAATTCAAAGCACCTTTGCTTGGCTCAAATCCATTTATGATCTATACAGATCATGCTTCATTGCGCACTACGACACAGTCGCTTCATCTCTCTCAGAAAATGTCTCAATAAGTCCTTCTTTGCTGGATACAACTTTGAGGTGAAGCATAAGCCAGGAAAGCAAAATACCTTGGCTGATGCGCTATCGCGCCGACCTGACTATGAGCTTGCTCATGTTGCGACACTGTCGTCATCAGTCCATGACTTTATTCGTGCGGCTTATGCCAAGAATGAACCATGTGCAGATTTGCCACGGCCTCTTGGGAGCGATGAGTTTAAAGACTCGGACATAAAATTGTCGGCACGTTTACTTGCGAGGCTACATCGATATTTCACTGACAAGGTCCTGTTGTGCTATCTCACGCATGTTGATATTACCCCTCGTATCGCAGTTCATCAGGATAATGAGTTGAAGCATCCAATCCTCTATGAGGCACACGATACTGCTTTAAGTGGTCATCTTGTCGATGAGAAGACCTATGAATCGGTGAGCCAGGCTTACTGGTGACCAAACTATATAAATGGGTGAGCACTTGTGTGTGCACGTGCAAAACGTGACAATGGGTCAAACCCTCAGCACCTGCGGCTGCGTCGCTGGCTAGTCTGCCTGTACCCACTGGGGTTGGGAGTCCATGAGTATGTACTTGTGTTCGAAATACCGAAGGATTCGGAAGGCATAACTCGTATGGTGGTGTGCTAACTGTTTGAGCAAGATGGCTCATTTAGAAGCTGTGTCGGGTACGGACGATGTGGAAGACACGGCAACGCTATTTATCGATCGTATGTTTCGACAACATGGTTTGTCTGCGGCAATTGTCTCTAAAAGAGATCCTCGATTCACGGAAATTTTTGGACGTCTACCTATAAGATGCTAGGAACCCGATCGGACATGCCCACAGCGAATCATCCGCAGACCGATGGTCAAAGTGAGCGCGTTGACCGCGTCGTTGAAGACATTTTGCGCAGTGCTTGCGCTGGTACACCACGGCGTTGGATCTCAATGCTCCCTGTTGTTGAATTTGCGTTGAACAACGCTATTCATACCTACACAGGCTTCACTCCGTTTTACGTAAACGGTCTCACCCACCCTCGCGTTCCGTCAACGCTACCACTCTGTGGCTCAGGGCTTGGTGCAACAAAGGTTGCCGATCGGCTTGCTGATATCAGATCTGCTACTGTTCAAAATCAGGCAGGCGAGTTTCTCGCAACGAGAATGAATGTATTACGAAATTTGCGTGACGCAATGGCTGAAAGCCGATTCAAATAAACAACAAGCTGATGTCAAAGGCAGATATTTTATTGAAAGTTTTAAGGTCGGAGACTTAATTTTAATTAATGCTAAAACCTACCTAAAAATGTATTGTATGCTGTCTTCGAGACCAAGTTGCGTCCACAATATATTGGAACGTTTACAGTCACCACCAAGAAGGACCTTGCGTATCCGCTTAACCTACCACGAAAATTTGGTTACATACCCGGTGTTCTAAGCAGGCTTACCTAAGCCGTACCAGGGTCATTCCCATGTGAATTTTGAGGCGCTGGCGGTGACGACGAGGGCGGTGAACCGGATGGCCGCAAGCGATCAGCAAATCCAACTGGGCCTCGCTCCGAGTCTAAGCACGCTCCATCACCTGAAGGCGGCTCTATATCGCATTAAGCATGCATTGGATCCTTCCCAGGTTATCTTTAGGACCCTTCATTTCAATAAGCAATTTCTCGTGGACTCTTACCGGTACACTGGCCACCACCGACGCTGCTCGATGTGCATGGGCGTCTTCAGTTTCACGTCGGAAGACTAATGAAACGACGTCGTCGTCATGGCCAATACCAGTATTTGGTAAAGTGGCATGGGTGATCTGAGTCTGAGAACTCATGGAAATACGAGGTACCCCTACGGCAAGATTTCCCTTATGCTTTAGATGTTGTTGAACATCGTGGCCAAGGTCATTTTAAGACTGAGACCGTTCTATACCACTAGTGGTGTGGGTTGGCGGGTTAAGGGTCATAGTTTGACTTTCAGTCGCGGCTACCGTAGTAAACGAATCATGTCGCGTGCGATTCCGCAATTTGCGTCTGGTCTTGAGCTTGGAATAGTCAACCCCGAAGCTTGCGTTCGAGACGCGCATCAGCCACAATGTCACTAGCTCTTAGAGCACGTATAGATGGGTCGACGTATGCGGTGTAATTAGCGGACGAAGGCATTGTCTGCTTCGATCTCGGTTTTGCTTACAAGCAAGAAAAAGGGTAGACCCCCATAATTGGTGGGACCGGTGCACCACGTGCTTGCATGTCAAGGTGTGCATTGTATTGTTCTTGGGTCGTTCGGTGTGGCACCAGGTACCTCTCACGAAGTGCCTGGCCTCTAGCCACTTCCTTGAGAGACTAAGGCTTGTGTCCAATGATCCACGTTGCCAACGATTGGTTGGTCGCTTGACGCAAACGATCCTCCACACTGGAAGGAGATGAATACATAGTCACGTTGGTGCTCGAGGGTTGCACCATTTGTGCACGGCGCAGAGCGCTTTCTTCTTGTTGAAAAAATAAATTTTCGAGCTCATAGAGAAATTCCGTGTTGATGGGATCATTCGAAACGAGTGTTAAGCGTGGTGCCAAAGGCAAATTCTTATCCTCACGTTCAGGAAAAAACAGGGGACAGTACGAGATTATACCTCAGACATGGGTGTATCGTACATTACCCTGCATCAACCTGGACACTGGTATTGATACCATTGTCCAAATGTTCTCCATTTCAAGGTAAGTACTTTCCATTTCAAGGTAAGTACTGAGATTCTTTACTCTTTGGGTGATGAGAACATCGTGCTCAGTTTTAATTTACCGTGAGGTGAACCGCAATTGCACTGACCTCGTATAAGGACAAAGTTTGACGAGGACGCTCGATTGAGATAAGGTTTGATTGACGTTTGAGTAAACATTAGCGTGGCGGTGGAGGGTGTAAAGAGATTACATTTAGTTGGGTACTTGGTACCCTGTGTCTTAGACACACGAAAGATATCCCACTGAAAGAGATACATTATATGGAATCGGTTTATAAGATATAATAGATCTCTTTCAATGGGAGCTGACTGGTGTCAGCCACAAGATAGGAGAGATCTTAGTTGTACTAGCTTAGGACATAAGTGTCTAGATTAGGACTAAGATATTCGATAGGTTCAATTTAGATAATATTCAGATTCCCTTTTGATCTTAAAGACACGTGCCTTTCGAGGCGTCTTTGGTCGTCGATCACTGATCATTAAGAGTTAGTAACAACACCCTGGAGTAGCTAGTTACTATTGAGCACTTAGTGCTGTCGATTCACTGAATCGTTTGGTCTCCTAGAACAAGGAACATCAGCTTTCCGCTTGTTGACTCATTGAGTCTAATTTTCTAGAAATTTTGTAAAAATATAGGAATTAATCCTCAAATCACCCTTAAAACTAAGTAGCTCGTTGAGCGTTAAGTCTTACTCTGACTTGAGGATCTGTGTAGCTCCACTTTATCCTTAACATATCCTTTGTTTCAGTTTTTTTGCCAGCGCCACCAACTTATAAAGGTAAGAATATGTGCTGCAGGCGAAAATGATTCGACGTAGCCAATTCCTATATATTGATAGATATTCAATCCCACAAGTCTTGGACGTAAAGTGCTTTAACCACGATCATCAGTCTTCACTTGGAATGCCCACATAAATCCTTATTTAATCACTGTCTTTAAGGCTTCTGCTTTATCTGTAAAAAGTCACCCTTTGTTTGGGTGCCACGAAACTTCACGTACACCAGTACATGCAGAGGAAGCCAATCTACCCAACAACTAAGCTGAGTAAAGGGTAAAACGAGAACTGTGCTTCATATAGTTAAGCTATCAATATAACTCTAATCTTTATCTAACTAAATTGAACTTTGTCGTCATATGACGACAATTTGCTCACCACTCATTGCGCGCGTCTCGTAGCGACTGGTGGTAATCTATGGTTGATATGTCTTACATAAACCAATCTTTGAGCAGCGCATGAATTTTATCCGAAAGGGGATACAATTCCTTTAATATTATCCATCCCGGATGATATTGGTAGGATATCGTCATGCTAGACAATGTTCCTATTGACACCATTTGGTGTCAATTTCATGTTACGGGCTACCCCGTTACATCACCCGACCCCTTGACCATCAATCACCCGTTGATTGAATGGAATTGATTGGGACAGGGTGACCATCATTGGATCACTCTAGCAAAGGGAGCAATTTTCGGTTAGATTCCATTCATTTACCAATCCAACGCATGGTTTCGAAAACCACGCGAGTTGCTACTGCAGCTGCAAGAAAGGCAGCTGCACGCATGCGTGCAGCCGGAGAGAGTAACTCTCACGTCTCAGCAGCAGGTGATTCGTCGCCTGCTGCTATGAACAGTCCACGTGGTGAGTCACCACGTGCGACAGTTACACCCGCTGCGTCTGCAGAAGATATCGCGAATCGTAATCTAGATGATCCTTTGATAGATCTCATCTATTCTGGTGAGTCAGGTGATGTATCCGACTCGAAGGCGACACCTCACGCCTCCAGATCACCCGGGGCGAACACTGCAAGAGCCAGGTTGACCAGTTTTAAGGAACGTGGCGGCATCACGCTCGATATCTTCGTTTCGAGCGATTGTCCCGATGAATCCTCGCCCCATGCAAGTGCATCCAACAATAGAACGCGTGGGGAAGGTGGTGATTCACCTATACATCACCACTAGCGAAGCAACTCGGTATCGAGGTGTCACTGGTGTCAGTGCTCATGCTGGCACCAATAAAGAGGCCAGGGACCGAAATGTCCTGCGCCACGCTCCCCAAGTGGAGACTCCGTGGATGCCATCATCCAAGGAGCTGGAAGAGTTGGCCAGCACGACTAACGATCGGGATCGAATCCCGTAGTTTAATTGTAGGGAGATTTGCCCACCTAACTCCAGCACGGAAATTATCTGTGCTGAAGAAGAGTTCTTCACCGATGCATTTTATAAACATCGGTGGTACAATGGTAGCCGTGTCCGAGACGGCAAAGCCTTGGTGCAAGGACAGAATGCCCTCATTTACAACATCGAGTGCATTAGCCGTCAGGCATGGCTTGGTAAACTTGATGCAGCTCGCATCAGGGTTGAGAAGCGCAGCCCAGTCGGGTGCGATACAAGTTGCATCGGCTGTCAAGAGAGGCAGAATTACCCTGTCTCTCGTAGTGAGATTTGTGTCCAGGCTGCCTAGACAACTCGAACCGTGCCCCTAGGGAGGCCTATCTCCCTAATGATCCCATTGGAGGGCGCGCATCTCTTCTGAGATGGCCGAAGGTATTGACACCTTGCGATCCCTGTACTCCTGTTCAACGAGGTCATTTTCCGACGACCCTTCTTTCAAAGCAGCGGGTGGGCTTCGTCGTACTGCTCGACGAGACCCAGGACATCAACAATCAGCTAGGCACGAGGCTCCCAGCTGTCCCACGTCGGTGGATAGCCACGCCAGCGGACAAGGTAACTCGTCCGGACGCCATTCACATCGTGGTGGTTCACAATACGCTCCACTGGAAAGCGTTAACCACCGCTTGAGTCCACCAAATGATGTGGTGGCGGCGGGATCACCTGATCCGGCTCGAGGGTCGGATCAGCTTGACGTTCAGGAGCTGAACCGTGTGACGGAACAGTTGCAAGATGACCTGGCGTATGAACGGACTCGGCGTAATGAGCTCCATGAGCTTGTAAAGGATAATTACAATTCCTCAACGCACGATAGATCGGAATAAGGTAACGCTTGTAAGTAATTTTTATATTCTATTTATTTTTCGGTCGTGTTGCGTTTGCGTACGCACAACTTGAGAACGAATGTTCGACTCGGTCTCTTCGTGACAATCTGGCTGTAGCTCGTCAAAACACCGCTCAACTGCGTGAACAGTTTGCTTCTCTAGTCGACCAGACTGTCTCGTTGAAACGGGACCACTCCAGGGTGATCTCGGCTCTTGACCGCGGAGGTGTTCTTTGCGTCTCGAAACGAACTCGTACTGATAGTACGGGCGGAGAAGTCCAACGTAAAACGTAGGATGTGCACGCATCTTACGTGGCAGTTCAATCGTGTATGCGTTGCCCATTCAGCGCAGCGTACGAAATGGACCAATATACTTGGGCAGTAGTTTGCTGCTGCCCACGTTTGTCACTGCGTGTTTTGGTAGCTTTACTGTAGAGAGTAAAACTAAATCTCCCTCATCAAATGAAAGAACATTTGCTCTGCCATGTTTATCTTTATGTCTTTTATGTTTATCTCTGGAGTCTACAATAGAGTCTTGAGCGAAGCGGACAACCGCTTCGCGAGTCAGCAGAAATTCCTCTGCTGATTCATCCTTGTCAACAGCAGTGCGCTCCGTGTGCACTGCTGAAAGAACATGTCTTCACCAGTGAGGGCGTCGTCATCCTCACTTTGGCAGTCATTGGCGATGCTGTATAGACCAGCATCTTCGTCATCACTATCATCGATATCTATCGCATCGACATTAGCATCCTTCACGCCGACATCATCGACGACGGGTGATGATGAGTAAGAACCAGATCGGTTTTTGTTCGAGCGATCCCCCCCTTAAACTAGAGTCACGATCTAATAGGGCGGGTAAACGTGGATGGCGTAGGCCATTCACGAAGAACAGTGTATGCGTTGTCGACGCGTGCACCGAGTTGTTGATGGAGAATTCCGCCATCGGCAAGAACTCACTACAACTCGTAAACGAGTGGACATGCCCTCGAAGTATCTCTTCGAGGACGCGGTAGACGCGTTCCGTCTGACCTTCTGTTTCTGGATGGTCAGAAGTCGACATCTTCAAACGTGTTCCAAGTGAACGGGACACGGATTTCCAGAACTCCGCTGTAAAGCGGGGGTCTCTATCGGACACGACTCACGGGCTAACCCTTGAAGTCGGAAGATAGTATCAATGAAGACACGAGCGCAGCCCTGGGCTATGATTGACTCCGTTATAGCGACAAGATGTACCATCTTGCTGAACCGATCAAAAAACACAAGAATACCAGTATTCTTGTGAGCGTCTTTGGGGAACTTTAAGACGAAGTCCATCGATACGGATTGCCAATACTCTGCCGGAATCGGTAGAAGCTGCAAGGGTGCGCGGGATGAAGGACTAGGCTTCACCCGTTGACAAACTTCGCAAGCACGACTTTATTTGTGCACAAACTCATACTGGCGGGGCCAGTAGAAGTCACGACTAACGATGAGGTAAGTCTTTTCTCTACCGCGATGTCAACTTGTTTAGACATCGCGACACTCATACATGATGCGCAATCGCAAATCATTATGAGCGGGACGACGACACGAGGTGTGTCACCGTTGGCTGCTGTATAGTACAGCGCACCATCATGAACCGAATACCGTTCGGTTGAAGAGCGGTATTGAGACGACAAGCTTTTCAAAGCTTGGCTGTATGGATTGGATACGTAATCCATCAATCGCAGAATACACTCATCTTCTGTGTAAGCTTTTTGCACGTCGTCGAGCAGATTCGACGACGGAACACTCACTGTTAGTGTCGCGACAGTGGGATCGCCCCTACTGTTGTGTTGAGCAGTCTGCTCGATATCGGGCCGACGCGAAAGAGCATCAGCGACGACAGAAAGTCGTCCTAGTTTTGATACTCAGCGTAGAAGTTGTACTCCGCGAAATAAGACAGCCACCTTGCCATTCGTTGCGAGAGGTGTGGACTGTTTACGGCCGTGCGTAACGACCCATGGTCGGTGTAAATGATGAAGGACCTAACTCATAAGGAATATACGCAAAGCTTAGCCAGTGCACATTTCATGGCAAGGATTTCCTTGTCATGCAGTGGTTAATTACGCTCAGCTGCTTGTAGCTGACGCGATTGATAACAGACGACACGCTCAACGCCGTCTGAGTCATACTGCATTAACGCGCAACCGGTTGCAAAATTGCTGGCGTCACAGACCACATGTAATGGTCTGTCCTGGTCAGCAATCGCCAACACAAGCGATTGTATACAGCTTTTCTTGATGCCTTCAAAGGAGTGTTGACACTCAGCACTCCATGAAAACCTCTCGTTTTTCTTTAGCAGACGATAGAGATGCACGGTTGTCTCGGCTTAGTTGCGCGAGTATTTGTGCAAGTACGCCGCCAAGCCAAGGAACTTTCGGAGCCCCTTGACGTCGACTGGCACAGGCCATTAGCCTTTCGCCTTGATCTTTTACGGATCAGGGCGTAAGCCATTTTAACCCACGATGCAGCCAAGAACTGGTATTTCGTTCGCTGCGAATATACACTTCTTGAGGTTCAGGAACAACTTATGCTGTCGCATTAGTGTAAAAACTTCCGGACGTGTATTCTATGAACCTCCACGTTCGTCTTTTATACATAGCCCGGCTATGGACGAAGACATCGTCAAAGTAACTCGGTGCGAAACCGCGCACAAATCGCAACAGATTCGTAACACATCTGTTAAACGTTGCGAGGGCGTTACTTAGCCCCCGCGGCATTACTAGCCACTTCCAGAGCATACCACTGAGGGTGCTAAATGCTGTGTACGGGATGTCCCGTTCACGCATGAGGATCTGATACAATCCATCCATTAGATCCCATGGACGAAAAGATGGTACTTTTTACCATACCATCTATGATGACATCCTTCCTTGGTATTGGCGCTTGAGCCGGTACCGTTGAAGCGTTCAAATTGTTGAATGGGTGCACTATCCTCCACCCTCTTGTTGCTTTTCGCACACAGAAGGTCGGAGAGCTGTGTGGTGATGTTGATTCCCTCACATGACCAGCCGCTAAGCGATCGGCAAAGAATTTTTCGATCGCTGTGACTTGTTCACGAGGCAGTGGCCACTGCTTCATGACACAGTATTTCGAACCGGGTTTCAGTTCGATCTCATGCCGAGTGCCTTTGTCTTTGGGCAGCTCGCATGGCACGGATTCAGGAAAAACATCCCTGAATTTAACCAAATCCTCATACAAAGTATTTGTCTTCAAAGTCTCTCAAGATTGAGACGTGTATCGCTCAATCCGGGTCTTCTCATCGAGGACACGCTAGTCTATCGATGAGCTACTGAGAACCCGTTCGCTACCAGCACACACTTGTGCCGACCGAATATTGGCAACGCACTCGTCCTCTATGACGAGTACGCAGATCTGCTTGATCTTGTCACTACGCAGATCTCGCGAGAATATTTTAGATTCTAGCGTTGGCAACTTGACTACCTCCAAAGCTGACTTCGGAGGTGTAACCAGATCAAGTGTATAAGCGCCTACACTTGATCCGTCATCTACCAAGACATTCACTGTATCGGTGATTTCCTGGTAAAACACATCCGCATGTAGTTGGGGATCCACACCCTCACCATAACTCCCTCGGGAGTTATCACTCTCAGGAAAGCTGGAAATTTCTTCCATGACGTGTACTGACTGTGAGTGTACTACCACAGTAACGTACTCTTCCATCGACTCTCTTTCAGTCGATCTGGCTTGCTCTATGATCGACTCTCAGTCGATCTTGCTTCAACGTATTGTTCATCCTGAACAATACTGATCTCTCTTCTTGGATGCACCCTTCTTGGTGTGCATCCGTGTTCCGGTCCACTCGATCTCTTCTAGTGGTGAACCTTCGGCGCAGCCTGTGTCTCTGCACAGGTGCCGGAAGCTGGTTCCACAGTGTAGTGGCCTTCTACACTGTGATCTTGTGCATCCATACTAACGACCGTACCACAAGTGAGGCCATCGCACTCACTTGTAGTACATTCACACGCTTGTGGACGCTCCAAGACGTTCATCAGATGGCTATCTGATGAACAAACGGCAGGCATCTTCACGGATCGATGCTGACAGCTAACCCATGGCTGGAAATTTCTAAGCCATGGCAGACCGAGAGATGACATCAAATT